TTTTAATTCCATCAAGTTGGAGTGGCAGAACTATGACTCATACTTTGACACCCTGTGTGTAAACAGATGGATGTTTGAGGATATGTTCCTAGGCCACAGAAGAGTTTTCAAAATTAGCCAACAAGCACACATAAAGCACTTACTTTATGCCAGGTATCATTGTAAGTGCTGGAGATATAAAGGCAAAAATATCATCCCTGTCCTCAAAGAGATCACATTCTAATAGGAGAGACAACATTTAAATAACCATAGAAACAAGATATATAGAGTGGATTGAAGCTAATCTCAAAGGCACAGGGGAGGATGGTACCAGGAAAGGCCTCCTGCAGAAGAAGGTGAGATTTGAGCTGTCTTGAAGAAAGCTAAGAGATGGAGGTGAGAAGGGAAGGTATTCCAAGCATGTGGGAAAGCCAGTGAAGAGGCACAGAGTTGAGAGATTGGAGTGTTACCTGTGAAGAACAGAATGTATAACTGTAGTGTAGAAGGCATGGAGGACAATAAAGTATAAGATGACTGGAAAGGTCGGAAAATTTCAAGTTGTGAAAGGCTTTAAATGCCAAATATAGAATTTTATATTTGACTTGATTTTTTTATTTTTCCCTTTTATTTTTTAACATTAATACATATTTATGTAATAAAACGAGCATTTCCATAACAGTACAATAAAAAAAGATGATTGTAGATGAACTATGAATGTACTAATCTACTTGCTATTCCTTTCAAATATACAACAAAATTGTCATGTAAATTTCTTTTCTTTTTTCTATATTTGATTCTGAAGATGGTATGGAGCCACTGAAGTTTACTGAGCAAAGGTGATACCTTTAGGAAAACCACAATGACAGTTAAATAGAGAATAAATTTGAGGGGCAAGACACAGAAAAAACAATTAGAAGACTATTGCATCACACAGAAGAGAGGTAATGAGGTACCAGAGTTTTGTCTGTACCAGAATTTTGAGAACCCTGGGATATATATATAATTTTATATAACTCAATATTTTATTTTTCTCCAGTTACATGTAAAAACAATTTTAAGATTCATTTTTAAAATTTTTGAGTTCCAAATTCTCTTCCTCCCTGCTTTCCCTGCCCATATTGAGAAGGCAAGCAATGTTATATAGGTTACACATGTGCAGTCATGTTAGTTACGTTATGAAAGAAAACACAAACAAAAAAAAAAAAAGAAAAAGTAAGCCTCAATCTGCATTCAGACTTCCCCAGTTCTTTCTCTGGGGATGGATATAATTTTTCCTCATAAGTCCTTCAGAATTGTCTTGGATGATTGTATTGCTGAGAATAACCAAATCATTCACAGTTGATCATCATACAATATTGCTGTTACAATACAATGTTCTCCTAGTTCTACTCACTTCACTTCATATCAGTTCACATATGTTTTTCAGGTTTTTCTGACAACATCCTGCTTGTCATTTCTTATAACACATAGTATTCCATCACAATCACATACTACAATTGATGCACCCCAATATACACCCAATTGATGGGCATCCCCTCAATTTCCAATTCTTTGCCACCACAAAAAGAGCTGCTATAAATATTTCTGTATCAGTAGGTCCTTTTTCTTTTTCTTTTTTTTTTTTAATCTCTTTGGGATACAAACCTAGTAATGGAATTGTTTGGTCAAAGTATACTTTATAGGCCTTTGGACATAGTTCCAAATTTCTCCCCAGAATAGCTGAATCAGTTCATAACTTCACCAATAGCGCATTAGCGTCTCAATTTTCCCACCTCCTCTCCAACATTTGTCATTTTCCTTTTCTCTCATATTAGCCAATCTGATAGGTGTGGGGTTCTTTTAATTTACTCAGAGTTCTTTTAATTTACATTTTTCTACTCAATAGTGATTTAGAGCATTTTCTATGATTACAGATAACTTTGATTACTTTATCTGAAAACTGCTTGTATATATCTTTTGACCATTTATCAATTAAAGAATGGCTCTTATTTCTATAAACTTGACTCAGTTCTCTATATATTTGAGAAATGAGGTCGATAGCAAAGAAATCGGCTGTAATTTTTTCCAGTTATCATTACTATGTATTTTTTTATCTTATTTTTCCCATTTATCCTGCTCTCCCTCCTTCCACCCTGTCCATTCTCAAAAGTGTTTTGTTTCTAACTTTTATCTCCCTCAATCTGCCCTCCCTTCTAACTTCTCTTATCCCCTCCCCCTTCTACTAGACTTCTGTAACAACTGAGTGTGTATTCTATTCCCTCTTTGAGCCAATTCCAATGAATATAAGGTTATGGGAGAGCTCAGGTGAGTCCCTGCCTTTTCTCTGCCACATTGGCCCTGCCCTAATTCTTTTTTTTTTTTTTTTAGAAAGCAATTTCTCTATAGAGTTTGCTCTACAGGTTACTAAAAAAAAGAATAGGTGTTAAACAAGGAGGGAAAGATGAAGAAAAGTATATATAGTTGATGAAACCTGAGGTATCTAATGGGAAAACGCCTAAGAGAAAATGGAAATGTATACTTTTATGCTGGTACACATATTTTTAAGTTTAATTTTTTAAAAAATATATACAAAGTGAAAGTTAAAATCCTTTTTTTTAATAACTAGGATAAATTGATTTTGGATTGAGGTTTTTCAAGGCAGCACAGCCTTTACAAAACTCTTAAAAACAACTTAAATTGCATCAACAATGAATGACTTTGCCTAGAGAATAAATCTACTGATGAAGACTCCAAAAAGAATTAAAAGAAAATGAAAGAGGGTAGATGTTTATGGGGCAAACTCCAGGGAACTCAGATTGGTTAAATAAAAACAAACAATGAATTGATGCTAGAGGAAGATATAAGAAAAATCTAGAAGATGGAAGCATAAAACTACCTTTGCTTTGGTATCAGGTTTAAATTGTAGCTCTGACTTTTGCAGGGTGTTAAGCACCTCAAATTAGTTGTTTGTTCTGCCTATCTTTTTGAAAAAAAAGTTGTAAATTACTGATACTAATGAGGCAGAAATTAAGAACTTGTATGAAGCATTTTGCTGAGATAGCACACAAATTTAAGTTAAGGAATCAAAGCACACAGGGACTCTGGTGTAAATCCAGATCTCCTCATTCCCAACTCAACACAAGACTTATCACACTACCAAATCCTACCCAAACCAAATCCCTGTAATTGGGGAATACTTAACAGATAAATAAAAAAATGCCACATACATTATTACATTTTACAACTAATTTACTATGAGGCCCTCAGAGATCCTTAGGTAAATGTAGTATCCCTACTTCTATTTCAGTTTGACACCACTGCAATGATGGCTTACCCAGAAGTCACAGTTTCGAAAATCTCTTAGAATTGTTACTATTTAAGTTTAAAGCCCAGGAAACTAGATAGCATAGAAAAGCTTATGATATTCAGAGATATTGCAAGCAAGATTAAGGGGCCTAGTGAAGATTCTATCATACAATATTGTCACTGACATCGTTTAAGAAAGAAAAATTTCAAAAAGATTTGACATCAGGACAGAAGAGGAGAAAGGGGTTAAGAGTCCTACTAGAGATTTAAACTTTGGTTCTTTTTCTACCACACTAATAACTTCCTGTTTGTAAATCTGGCACATTACTTAATTACTCCGTCACCAAGTCTTCATCTACCAAATTATGATGTCACTATCAATTTCTTTTTCTCCCCACCCTCTTATCTAAATGAATGCTGTGAATAAGTGAATATTGTGCCTTAAGTACTTAATGTAACTGTCCATAAATATAAGATGCGATTCTATTTTCTCCTCCTCCTCCCCCACCAAAATAACAGAATGCAGTACAACAGAATGGCCTTTAAATCAAAGCATCATGCTACATGGCCAATTGCAGTAAGTGGTTATGCATGAGAACATTAAACCTTCTCATGTTTCCCTTTCTGATGTTCTTCCTCTTCCCTTTAGTTCTTTCTAATCACCAACCCCCATCCTGCTAACCACTGGAAGGCTCTATCTCTTGACTTTCGCATCGATGTGACTAGTTTGGAAATCTATTTAGTTGCCTTTGGGTTACCTTCCTATTTGCCACATCTTTTATTCATTTCTTTCTTCCAGGAGACTACAGCAGTGCATAAACTGCGCAAAGGACAAAAAAAAAAGTGCTGTACACCAGCCTTCTCATTTTTAAAAACTAGCAATAAAGATGTCCTAATCTCAAATGTACATTTAAAACCCTTCACCACTTTTCATGCATTCAAAATCACTATAACATGTGTCCAAGGCATTCCTTACAGTCATCCAAAAAAAAAAAAAAAAACGCAATTTAGAGCAGTTTACTACTCTAATACTTGCATAACGTTTTGTGTGATTTTTAATTTCAAAATCTATTTAAACACAATTGGTCAAGACTCCTGCTAGCTTGGGAGTTTCAAATGTGTTTTCAAGGGTAAAATTGATGGAATCCAAGTCCTACTATTCAGCCAGGAAATCAACTTCTAAATGGCTTTCACCGTCCTCCCTCCCATCCCCCAACAAGGATAAACTCATCTAAACAGAAGAAGCAGGACTACCTTGGCTGAACTTAATCAAATATTTCACATGGATTCAACTAAAGTTGTTGGCTTAATACTATTTGCTTTTCTACTCTTTCTCTTCCTATCAAATTTTAGTTACCATCCGCTTAATCTGGGCTGGGATCTCTGTGTATTTTACCTACTACAACAAGGAATGTGGGGGGTGGGGAGGAAAGGGGAGGGGAATCCTTACTAAAGCAAGGAAAAACGCCTCTCCGTACAAGAATTGCTTTTCTTTTACATCCCTCACTGCAAACTCAAAGTACAAGTAAGTTCAGGTCATTTCCTGAGCAGCCCTGCAAGTTAAAACAAGATACAGAAAATCAATTAATCTTTCATTGCAAGGACTGCAGCCTGGAAGCACAACGTAGGGGGTGGAGTGGGAGGAGGGAGATGGACGTGAAAGAGGAAGAGAAAGGATTTCAAAAAAAACCAAACGCATGACAAATAGGAACGTACAGACTTCAGCAATTTCTTACCTCACTCAGCTCCGCAGAGGAGTCATTTCCATATTTCAAGACAACTCCAGAATTCATGATTGTACTTTTCAGGCTTGATTATTCCGCCAGGTTTTAATATACGGAAGTTGTATTTGAGACTCAACATTCACTCCCTTTTCTCGCTTTTCCCTTTTTGCACATTTTGCTCTAGACAGCCATTTTCACTCTGGATTTGTAAACCCAAAATCATGATGCAAACATCCCGAAAATAGCCAAGTTGGTTTTCGTTTCACCGACGATCCATTGCTACCAAAAATTCGCTAACGTTGCTGAGCACCCCGTTGCCCCGACTGCAGATACAAGGTAGCAATCGCTTTGCATTTCCAAACTGCCAAAAGTCCATGCGAAATATCAGCTCCAGCAATGCCTCCGCAGTTCTGAGCTACCTTTCTCCCCAGCTGGGTTGGAAGGCACCTACCATGAGAGACCAGTACCCGAGAAACGATTCGGGGCGCTTCCAAAGAGTCCACCGGATGGGCCCCGTGGAACAAGAAAACGCTCGAGAGAGACACAGACCTCTCTGCGGCACTGCACGCTAAAGTTTCCCCCTTCTCTTCAGCCTGGAGTTGTAAGTGGTTTCTGATTGAACACAGCTGTCTTGCTGCTGGCTAAAGGGTGAGCAGAAGGGGCGGGACCTGAAGAGAAAAAGGAGGGAGGAGGACAGAGAGAGCATTTTGTAACTGCAGGCATCTTTCCAGTTCTTTGTAATACTGATTACAGTACCTAAAACTATAATGGTAAAAGACAAACAGGAAAAGCCACTTAAATAGCCAAGAAAGGTTGTCTTGGGGTTTGGGGAGGAAGGAAGTAGGGAAAGGAAAGGGAAAGGGTATAGACTTCACGAAGGCATGAAAAGTCCTCCCTTTTAAGATACTGACAAATTTAAAAATTCTGTCCGACAGTCATGCACTTCATGGGCCACATTAAAATTTTACAGTGGCTTGAGGCAGATATTTTCTCAGATCAACCAAAGAGAAATATCAAGGATGTAAATTTACTATCAGAGGAATCATCAGAATTAAAAGACCATCGACAAACTAGAAAACCCCTCCAGAGACAAGTGATCAAGGGATTGAAGACTATCTTAGTTGAAAACTAGTTTGAAGGAACTGGTGAGCCTAGAAAAGAGATTTGGTGGAGAAGGTGGTTTTAACAGCTGTCTTCAAAGATTGGAAGTGTTGTCATCTTGAAGAGCCTCTCTGGCCCCAGAAGAGCAGCAGGTGGTCGCTGCAGAGAGGCAGATTTAAAACTTGACTCAGGGAAAAAACTTCTTAACACTATCCCACAAAGGAATAAATTTCCTGGATAGTTAGTGAGTTCCCCTCCTTAAAGGTCTTCAAGGAAAAGTTAAATGCTTGTAGACTATATTGTAAAAGGGATTTCCGTTGAAGTGTGGGTTAGAATCTATAATTTTGTGACTATCCATCGGGGTGTGTATTTACTTTCTCTCTCTGTTAGATGGATGGAACACATTTTCTATATTTAGGAAAGAAAGCTGTTTTCTAATATCTAAAGAGATATGAAAGAGGGGTTGAATTTATCTCTGTGGCTCCAGAACATAGGACTAGGGTCAGTGGTTGGACATTACAAAGCAACAGACTTGAGACCAATATATGGAAGATGAGGGTGGAACAAAAATAAGGAAGAATTTTTTTTTAAACTTGATTTTATTGCTGTCATTTGCTAACATTACCTCCATTTCTCAGGGAGGCTGCCATAGAAATGTAGAAGTGGAATCAGAGTAATCTATTAATACAGTCAGAGCTATATAAGGAGAAATAGCTAGAGCTCCACAAAGACATACAGATCTTAGGAGCATAAAGCTAGAGCTGGAAGAGACCTCAGAGAACATTCAGTCCCATTCCCTCATTTATCAAAAGAAGAAACTGAGGCCCATGCAAATCAAGTTCCTTACCAACTGTTCACTCAGTTAGTGCCAGAGATAGGTCTTTCTGCTTCTTTCCAAAGTCACTGTTTCTTTCCATTGTTTGCTTTGCTATGTCTGTATGAATAAGATATACTAGATTTTTTTAAAGGATTCATTTGGATGTTTCTCAAATTTCAGTTGTATAGACAGCACTTGTGTACCAAAATTTTAAAAAGCATAAAATATGTACTGTTTTTCTCATTGTTTCAAAAGTTATCCATGGTTAAAAATAAGGGAAACCCAAAGTTGATTTTATTCAAGCTGACAGAAGAAAATTAGAGTAAAAACTTTCATTTTGGGGGTAGCTAAGCGGCACAGTGGATAGAGCACCGGCCCTGCAGTCAGGAGGACCTGAGTTCAAAATCGGCCTCAGACCAAACACTTGACACTTACTAGCTGTGTGACCCTGGGCAAGTCACTTAACTCCAATTGCCTACAAATAAAACAAAAAAAAACTTTCATTTTTGCATATGAATTATTCAGGGTACCTATCAACACTGACCAAATTATCTGGATAATAACCAGATGTTCATTTTACTTTATGTTGTGGGAATGAGACTTCCTTTGTTATCAGTCAACATTAGAGTTTATAGCAACAACTTTTCCTCTACTTTAGTAGATTAAAATCAAATAATTTGTTAGTCTCCCCCAAAATAAACAATTGTCTCTCTTCCACTCCCTGCAGAAAAAAAGCATCTGTCTCAACTAGAACGATGCATTCTCAAGTGAGCACTTTGGCTTTTGATGAACAGAAGCATTGCTACATTATACTTAAGCACTGCGATTTTTTTTTTATCCACATTTAGAAAATGCCTCCTTTCTTCTACCTTGAGAAAGACCAAGCTTATAAGTACTCATAACCAAACCTATCCCTCTTCATGCTCCAAGGTACTTATTCTAACTGGCTAGCCCTAGTCTAGTGTCTTTAAAGCCTCTACAGGTTTCTTTAGGCTCCATGAAATTAGTTCCTTTTGGTAACTAAACAAGGGAGGCTGAAAAATGTCTAATGTAAAGTTAAATAGCAGATCTTAGAGGCAGAGAATGAGATGCCTCATTAATCAAGAGACTAGTTTCCTTTTAGAAAGAAGCCAGCTCTGGAGATACCCCTACTTCCTCTGACTCCTCCAGGCAAGACAATAAGTTATTTAGGGGTAGAGCTCCTCATCCTCTTAAGTCTTTACTTCTAAAATTGACTAACAACTTTGCTTCTGGTTCTTGGGATGAAAGAGCAGTCCTAGGTAATACTTTGAAAAAGCAAGGAGAGGGGCAGCTAGGTGGCAAAGTGGATAGAGCTCCGGTCTTGAAGTCAAGAAGGACCTGAGTTCAAATCCAGCCTCAGACACTTGACACTTACTAACTGTGTGACCCTGGACAAGTCACTTAACCCTGATTGCCTCACCAAAAAGAAAAAAAAAAGGCAAGGAGAAGGAGCCAATGTGATGAAGTAGCATTAGGTTGAATAGCCATGCTCCCCTCCAAATGTACCTAAAAAATGCATCAGACTGAAATCTGATAGATGATACAGAGAGCAAGTCACTTCCTGTCCCTAAGTTATGACATGCTCAAAGCGTGTTCTTTTATACTTTTCTAATGAAATTATCTTATTTTGCATACACTTATCGCAGTATAGTTATCCCTTGCACATCACAATTTTCTGTATCGTGGTTTTGATATATTGCTGGTCGGCATAACAGAGAGCAAGTCACAGTGATCATTTGTCCAACTGCATAGCAGAGAGAGACAGAAAGGTCTCCAGACACTGAGTGCTTAGTGCCCAGGAATTTGTTTAATCACAAAGACGAGATGTCCACAATCTGGGGCAGCACAACAGGGACTGATGTCAATTGGCACACTACCTACTTCTGGATAACAGATCCATAGACTAAGAAAACAATCTACACCTATAGGTGGCCTTTCAGTTCCTGGGTAGGGAGACCCTGGATAATGTGCCGAGAAAGGAGGAAGTTCAAAAGCCAGCATCAGCAATATGGCTCAGACCCCAGGAGAAGAGTGGCATTTCAGGTACAGCACCTAGCCTACACTGCAAGGGAATACCCAGGGCAGAAATCAAAGATAAAAAGGAAGCCTACAATTTTTCACTCTGAACCGAAAAAGCTTTTCAGCTGTCTAATAGAGGATGAGTTCAGCAGCTTAGATTCAAATGCAGGTCAGGAACTTGCAAAGTTTAGACAGGGATAATAATCAAACTTTGTCCTGGATCAAACCCCTTTGGGAATACTGAAAGCTTGCAGGTCTCTGAGATCCTGGAATAATATAATACTCAATACAAAAAAGCAATAAATGAACAAGCCCTCTAGAAGTGTGGCACAGCCTAGTGCTAATATCAAGTCTGAAGTTAGGAAATAAGTGGGAAGAATGAGCAAACAAAAGACACCACTATGAAAAGCTATGGTGTCAGGCACAAACCCAGAAGAGATAGACTACAAAACATCTACAATTAAAGCCTCAGAGAAAACAGGATAGGCACCAATCCAACTAGAATTATTGGAAGAAATAAAGCAAGAGTTAAAATATTTTATTTTTTTATAAATGAAATGAGAATTCTTAAAACAAAATTAGAAATGAAACGAGAGCTATGGAAGAGAGAAGTGGAAATGAAATTAATGGCTTCCAAATGAACTTTGGCCAAGCAACAAATTGCCCCAAAATTAGAAATAACCAAATAGAAGCCAGTGACTCCTTTAAGACAATGAGAAATATTAAAACAAAATCAAAAATTGGAAGAAAATCAAAGAAAAAATAAAGCATCTCCTAGCAAAAACACCTTACCTGGAAAACAGATTGAGGGGAAAAAAATGAAGAATCATTGGGCTATCAATGACATGACAAAAAAAAAAAAAGATCCTAAACATCCTATTTCAAGAAATTGTAAAAGAAAACTGTCCACATCTCTTAAAATCAGAAAGCAAATAAACAGAAAGGATCTACCAGTCACCTTTGGGGGAAAAAAAAAAAACACAAAATGAAAACACCTAGGATTATCATAGCCAAAATTCAGAACTTCCAGGTCAAAGAAAAAAATACTACAGCCACCCAGAAAGAACAAATTTAAGTGTCAAGGAGACACAGTCAAGATCACACATGATTTAGCAGCCACCACTGTAAAGGAGTGACGAACTTGTGATGAAGTATTCCAGAAGGCAAAGGATAGAAACTTACAGCCAAAAATAATTTATCCAGTAAAAATTTGTCTAATGCTACTGAGTCAATCTTTAATGAAATAGAGTAATTCCAGTCATTCTTGATGAAAAGATCAGAGATGAGTAGAAACTTCAAAATTCAAACACAATAGTTAAGAGGTAAAAAGGTAAACATAAATGAACAATGATAAAGACAAGGATAAATTCCTCACATTCAGATATGGGGAGATGATAGCTATGTTGCCTCTGAAGCCTATCATTATCAGGGATCAGAGAGGGAGTGTAATTAGACAAGACCTGGGAGTGGTCCTGTTATGTCTTGATGATCTTAATAGAAGAATGGAAAGAGAGGAGAAAAGGAATACACTGGAGAGATGGGTGGGAAGGGAAAGGAAAGTTAAGGAATATCATCTCATTATCAGAGAGTAAAAGTAGACATTTATACAAACAAGGAGGGAGTGATAGGAGTAGTTGACACTTCAACCTTTCA